CACAAATCGCAATAGTGCATCCGTGAGCTTGAATATACGAAATGCGGCGAATGGAAGGCGGATTCGTTCGCATTGGATTCCATTATATTCTATCACTCGGCGAGATATTTTTAACGAAGATTTTTATGTAGCTCTGTTTTTGTCACAATTCAATAATTCTCTCACATCGATCAAAACCGATCTGAACTTTGCGCGGAACAAATTAGTGCAAATTGATGTAATTTCGACTATCCAGAAGAAAGTAGATAGAAACGTTAATTCATTTTATTAGAAAAGTCGTCCAGCTTCTTCGGAAAACTAACAATTCTTAACGCAATGGAGGATAATTGGGGATCTCGAGTATTCGGGAAAGTTTAATCCAACTCGAACGCAACCTCGAAACCTTCCTTCCAGGTGCTGGCGAACCTTTGCGCGATCCACGATTACATCGAATGAATACCTTTTGAATACGCTACACGTACTAACGAGATTCGATCGTGGCTCGCGAGAGCGTTCTTCTATTATATAATTACAGGGGGAGATTAACACTCGAATTAATTAAATTAATACTTTATCGATTTACATGTTAGATTCCGTATCGCTAGAGAGGGCCTTTATTTCCTATCTAACGCTCTCGTAGACCGGCAGCGTACGTTTTTTCTATGTGCTATGTATATCTGTGTGTGAATAACGTATATGGATAAGTGTAATTATTCACATTGTGTGCGTAACGTCCGCAGGGTGCTCGGATGAAGGTGCTCTTCGATCGTTTGATCCACGAACGCGATCAATAACCTTCCCTAATCGATCGTTACCAAGATCGGAATTCAGACACGATTCAGATTCGCGAGAATACGAGAAACTGCAGAAACGTACGATCGTTTTTCGAGACTTTTTAAGGTCGTCTTTTCCTTTCTACCGTCGCGCCGTGCGGAATTCGTGTCCACCGGATAACGAAAGAAATCGGCAGAACGTGCGAAGTAGAGAGCGCGTTTCGAGTACGATAGCTTTTCGCGGATTCTCGGTGCTTCATGTCGTTCCATAAAATCGAGATATTGATCATGCCCGTACAAAGGGATTCCGTCTTGCTCTTCGATCTACGATTTTATCGGATTCGCTGACACACTCGAATAGAGTTCGGCGAACAGAAGGAATGTTTATGACTGTGTTAACCCGAACGACGTGTGTGCGGGCATATGTAAATTCGCGCGTGTTTCGGGATAAAAAATAGTTCTGCATTTATTTTCTCCTCCCTCTCAAAAAATGATATTTTAATATACGTAACTTTTAGATCGAGATATTCCAGGATTCAGTGATATTTTTCTCTGGCAGTTGTCAATATGTTCCAATTAACAACAAGCGAATTAATTCTGAATAAAATAGAATTTTAATATAAACCTGTTGAAGTTATCTTAAGGATCTTATGAAGTATTTTACTGATATATATGTGTGTGTGTGTGTGTGTGTGTGTGTGTGTGTGTGTGTGTGTGCGCGCGACGTACG